CCATTATTATCCTTTTTATTTATATATTGTATACTATATAACTTCAAATGCAGTTATCCAATTCTGGATCACTTTTGCGATGCGAGAACCATATTTAATGTCAGAGTAGGATTAAATTCAACACTGACACCGGCATTAAATGAAGTGTATCGCATTTCGTATATAATTATTTTAAGCTACTATGATATACGTAATCTATAGATTGTAAGGAAATTTTCTTTTTTATCGAATTATGAAAAGAATTATTATAACAGGATTGGATTTTATATCGAAGTTCAATAAATACTTTCCTTCTCAAGTTTCTCGTTTTTCGCTGAAAATGAAGTGAATGTTATTTACTCCGCAATTAAAGAACCTGAACGGACAGCAGTAATATATGCGTGGAGAAGTATCGTGGAGGAAAAAAGATTTCAGGCTGAATTCGATGCCAGGCGCGGAACCTACTTTTTTTTCCTTTTCGACGAGACGACTTTGAGAAGCCATGCTCGGCCGGCAAGATTGGTTTACCATCTCTCGTCGTGTATAACGTGTAAAACGTGGTTGACGAGTACGTGGACTCACGAAGCGAACGCGCATCGCGTGCGTCCTGATTCGCTTTTTAACCCTTTACGATATCGCGCCGAGGTAGATTCCTCCACGTAGCATTTATGACGACACATGTCTCTCCCAAATGGTCGAGATAACGCTCAATTATCGCAAATTACAATTCCTAAGCCGGTTGCAAATTGGTAATAATGAACCGAGACATGCGACACATGGCGACAAAAAAAATATGGAGCACCCGAAAATATTGATTTATTTCTGAAAAGTGTAACGAAAGATTAACAATTTGAGGGTAGATAAATGAGATATGCAGTTTGACAATTTTGTAATTTATAACTTCGTCGCTACGGTTTAGGTGATAGTCAAACATTCTGAGGAAAGAATGGTTTTGCTGGAGTATCCAAAAATTTAGCTAAATTCAGAGCTAAAAATAATTTTATTGATTTAACAAAATAATTATTTAGAATACTCACGCTGCAATGATTGTTAAAATTTTTTGTACATGGACAAAAACATGGAGAGAACAATTTTGGAAAAATCTAGAAATTTAGATACAGATCTGAAAATGGTTTTGTTAAACCGTTAAAATTTTTAGATAGAACACAACTTGATTTTCCTATATAATTATTTTGACGGTCTTACATTTATTTTCAGATCTAGATTTTTAGATTTTTCAGCAAAATCGTTCTCTCCGTGCTCATCATGCTTGCTAGTTAAATTTTTAGATTATACTTCAGCAAAACTTAATTCTTTTAATTTTTTTCCATACAAAAATTATCTTATAACAAATCTGTAAGTAATTTTGTTGGGTTATCGAAATTACGCAGGACGTTCAAGCTGGTAGCCAGAATGTTAAAATATTTTGCAACATTATTCGTCATAATTTTCCTATACATATTTTTTTAATGATTGAACGAAATTATTTTCAAATCTGTATCTAGTTAAATTTGTACACGGAAAGAACGATTTTAAAGTATTTAAAAATTTAGATAGGTACAGATCTGAAAATAATTTTGTCAGAACATAAAAATTTTATTGACCAATTATGTAGGACGTTCAAATTGGTTGCTACAATGTCAAAACTTTTTACAACATTGCTCATTATTGACTTTCCTACTTAATTATTTGGATGGTCCTACATTTATTTTCAGATCTATATCTCTTGCTAAAGTATCTAAATTTTTAAATACTTCAGCAAAATCTTCTTTCCGTATAAGGGAATTATAAATATAAATAAGATGAGTAATGCAATTAACACAAGTGATTTACAAAAACTTAAATAAATCACGGAATAATGTTGTGTATAATCAAATAATTAAAGACTCTTTAGAAAAAGTTCAAACTCACCGGATTCCTGATAACCGAGTTATCGACCCGCCTTATAAAAATTCGATGAAACGAAGATTAGTCCTCAACTCATTTTGAACTTATGAGACTTTTCATCGGGAAGATCAGCAGCAGGTTAGCTCGATTACAATGTTATTTCATTGTTTATGTTTCGATCGATTTGCGGGATAGTTGGAGTTTTTACCTTGGAAACGATCTAATTATTACGGACAATGACGTTCAAACTGATATCCAGTTACAAGTTGATAGGTCGGTCCGCGGGGCTAAATGGTGTTCTAATGATTTCTCGATACGCATACTGTTTATAATCACGGATCGTATTGATAAGGTAGCCGCCTAGAACGCGTACAAAATGCCGATTGGGAAGGCTCGAGGCGGAAAAGCCGCCGGCGGCGTTCACGACGGAACGAACCACCATGTTAGCGTCGACTCGGGGGGTCAGGCTCGTCCTACTGCGCAGTAACGCCATCGAAAAGCTTTACTCCACTTTTGCTGACGAAAACTCACCGCTGGTGTCCCTTCATTAACGTGTTCATAGAACCGTCCACTTTTGCCGTTAACTAGAAAGATCCAACTGAGAGGAAAAATAGAGCTATTTTAACGTAATACTTGATATATTGGGGTATATTGCGGAAATGATGGAGAGAAAGAGGAAGGGATTCGTGTTTGTTTGAGAAATTGTAGTAAATGAGTCAATAGGGTAAAACTCGAATCAATAGAGAGGGCCTAGAACTATTCTACACTCGGACTTAGTCTCGCGAGCATCTCAATGTTATCTCATGAGATAAGCCTATTTTTGTCGTAACACTATACTTAAATTTCCTCTCTGACTTTACCAAATTTCAGATATATATTACAATGTTGCTCAACATTGCTCGAGTTAATTACTTTAACGGTCCAACAAAATTATATACGAGGGCAGTTTGATAAGTCAATGACTCTTTTTAACTTCTTTTTTATCAAAATTCAATTTATTTTTCAACATAATCTTTTAAAAAGTTCCTGATTTATCAAATTGCCCCCCCCCCCCACACATACACACACACACACACACACACACAAAATTATTTTCAGATCTGTACACTGATTGTGAGAGAAAAATTTTTAATATTTATATAACTATAATTACATATTACTATAATTGTGATTATTACTGTTATAATATTAGTAATAATAATCCCATATGTATAGTTTTAGCAAGAAATATATGTATAATTGACAACCTAACTTTAATTATATTTATTATAATCATAAAAATGATTGAAATTATCATAAAAATGATTCAAATTACTATAATTTTATAGTATTTTATAGTATTTTATATTTTGGATCACATTTTGGATACTATAATTATAAACCAAAAATATATATAGTCTTCTTGATGCTTCCATGGGTGCTTTCTATATAACTACATAGTATTACAATACTCATTATAATTTTTAATCCTGTATTCTTCATTTCGTGTAGTACGCTGTGAGTCATTTTTATCAAAAATCAAAGTAGTCATAAAGAATATTGTTTTATGACTACTTTGATTTTTGATAAAAATGAGTGTACTACACGAAATGAAGAATACGGGATTAAAAATTATAATGAGTACTATAATTATAATCATTTTAAGTTGCCAACTACAATACATAGATTTATTGCTAGAACTGTACATATGATTATTATTACTAATATTATAATAGCAGTGATAATCAAAATTGTAGTAAAATATGTAATTATATATAAATATTAAAAATTTTTCTCTCAGTGCATCTAACCAAATTTTTAGGTACTTATTATAAATAAAATCATTCTTTTCATATATACATTTTAAGTACAACGCGAAAGTATATTGCACGGAAAGAACAATTTCATTAAAGTATCTAAAAATTTAGCTAAATATAGATTTGAAAATAATTTTGTTGGCATCAAAATAATTATGTAGAAATCTCAAGCATGATAAACATTGCGAAAAGTTTTGACATTTTAACAACCAGCTTGAGCGTCTTACATAATTCTTTTGACAGTCTAACAAAATTATTTTCAGCTAAATTTTTAAATACTTTAGTCGTTTTAAATACTCCTTTCCGTGTTATTTAGCTACAAAGAAGCTGTAATAATGTCGCTCTTTCTCGTAGAACCGTGAAGAAATTCAATTTTTGTCACTCTTCATTGCTTTTCCTCCTTGAAGTAAAGAAAGACACAGACGGTGCCGTTCTGCGCATTTACGAGACGATCAATCGTCTCGGACGATGTGCTCGCCCCGGATTGCCATGTTTTCTTCCGTGGGCAACTGTTACGCGACACACTTACGTGCCTCGTGGACTCGGCGGCCATGTGAGACGCCGAAAATTCCGTTCGTCAACTCTAGGCGCGATTCCATCGCGGTGAAGCGTTTCGGGCATTTCGTGGCGAGGCACGCCGTGCGGTTCGACGACGGTTCGATTTCGAGGAGGTGGCCGTACAGAAAGAGAGAGAGAGAGAGAGAGAGAGAGAGAGAGAGAGAGAGAGAGAGAGAGAGAAAGATAAAGCATTCATTACTGTTCTAGGGCGAACCCTCTAAAGCCTGTCTCACACTACACATTGGAGCTGAGAATTGTGAATTATATTGGGTCATCTAAAAACCGCGGATACTTTTTAGATGATCCAATAAATTAGAATTCGATCAGACAGATAGTTTTAATTTCAATCCGTCACTCATTTCGTTCTGATTGGCTGAATTCTATTCTTTAATTCGTAATCCTCAATCTTCAATATCCGTAGGGTGACACAGGCTTAAAAACATAAAGATAAGCAAACGAGACATTTGGGAGTAAAAATGCAAAAAATAAGAAAAGAGAAATATATAGATAAATAGATAATAGTATTTATTAACATTCTATGACAAGAATATAAAAACGATAATAACGAAGTAAAAAGAAAAGAAAGTTAAAAGACAGAACGGTAACACAAAATAATATTTGCAAAATAAAATTAAAGATAAAAAAGATAAAAATATAAAAAATAAAGATAAAAAAGATAATGAAAAATTTATAAATAAAAGAAAATTAATAAATTTTTTTTAAAGAAAACGAGAAACAGAATCAGAATCATATATTGAACGTTCTAGCACATTCCCTAACATTAGATTTATTCTTTCCAGCTGAACTTGTTCCACCGTTCATCTTTCTTCTTTTTCTCTCCGTATTGGAAATGATTGGATGAACCGTGCAAGAAGTTCATCTAAAAAGAACACAGCTATTATTACAAATAAAGGAGTAGCAAACACTTTTGGAACTTAAAAATGAAATAGGTAAATGAAATATATATTTGATATTTGGTGAAGGCAAAAAAAAATACAATGTTGTAATACAATGTAATGCAAGAGATATTAACATAAGATGTAAAAAAAAACAAAAATAAAAATAAAAAAATAAGATATAATAGATAACAAAGTAAAATCAAAGAGAGAGAGAGAGAGAGAAAGAGGCGATCGTGCGGCCCTCGCATGCGAGAGGTTCCTCTTGACGAGAACCGACGGGAACGAGATGGGGCTTTTCCAAAATCGATATCTCCGCGGGTATCGGTTCCTCGCGTCTGAAATGCTTCGCCGCGTGCAACTATAACCGGTGGAGATTCATTTCCCCGCTCAGAAGCCTCTGCAAACGGGACTTTTACAAAGACGGTCGTCGCGCTCGCGTTTTCCTCCGAGCGTTCGCTCGCTCGCGTCCCGTCGGGCGGCGGGAAGGACTACAATCGTCGTCGGTGACTCGGTGGTCACGTACGCCCGAAGGAATCGATAGATAAAGAGCGGCGCGCGATTTCCCCGGATGTAGACTCATTGCCGAACAAACGACGGCGGGCGGAAATCGCGCTGCGTTTGTTTTTTTTCCGCGTTTGCGTTCCGCAATCCGCAGCGAGCCGCGAGCGCGCCATGGCGACACGGACGGCCGGCACGGCGGAGCTCCGGCTGTTAAAATGCACGCGCGAGGAGGAAGCCGAGCGATACCCGCTCGCAATCAGAGAGAAAAAGAGAAAGAGAGAGAGAGAGAGAGAGAGAGAGAAATACAGTGGAGAAATTACAAGTCTATTCGCGTTGCTTACACTTTTTGCATTGAGAATCTTTGCTTTCTGTCTCTTCAACGCCAGAATATATATATTTACTCCGTTTTAAGTGTGAAAATTTTTCAAGCAACGCGAACAGACCTTATTTCACTGCAAGCACATCTTATGAAGGGAAAGAAGAGGAGCGAATGAAGCGCGTGGATCTCGATCATAAATAATCTGGAGTAAAAAAGAAAAAAAAAAAGAACAACCTTATAAAACTTTGATACTAGTAGTATCAATTAATCATTTATTTTGAGTATTAAGAGTATTGGTAACGGTACTTTTAAATTTTAATACCGGCCATTAATCATTTAAGTTGAGTATTAAAAGTATGTTAATAGTACCTTAAAAGTTTAATACTAGTCATTAATCAGTTATTAAGTATTAAATGAATTGTTAATAGTACTTTCAAATTTTGATACTGGCCATTAATCACTCATTGAGTATTAAAAGTATTGTTAACGGTACTTTTAATATTGAAAATAAGTGATCAATCGAGCAGTACTAGTATTAAATTTCTATAAGGGCACGGAAGATCCGTCGTTATAACCTCTGAGAATTTCGGAGGCGCGACGGTGATGATTGTGAAGCCGAAAACGGAGCTGCGTTCGGCGCCGTCGGCTCTGAGTCGCGGCGAGGCAAGGCAAGGTAAGATAAGGCAAGGCAAGGCAAGGCAGGGCAAAGCAAGACAAGATAAGCTAAGACAAGGCAAGGCAAGGCAAGGCAAGGCAAGGCAAGGCAAGGCAAGGCAAGGCAAGGCAAGGCAAGGCAAGGCAAGGCACAAAACAAGACAAGACAAGACAAGACAAGACAAGACAAGACAAGACAAGGCAAGGCAACGCAAGGCAAGGCAAGGCAAGGCAAGGCAAGGCAAGGCAAGGCAAGACGAGGAGAGCCGAGACTAGGCAAGGAGAACCCAGTGGGTTCAGTGGGTTCTTCAAATTCATATCGGATTCTCGCAATGCGTAAATACTCACAGCATCTTGCGGGCGGTGGCATCGTAGACGAGGCGCATCGCAACGGCGACGTGCAACGGCGGCTCCGGCGAGTAACAGCGGCGGCACGGCAGCAGTGACGGTCGCAGCGAGCTAAGCGAGCACAGGGAGCACAGCGGGCGCACAACAGCAGGCTACTCTGGCGTATAGCCACGGTGACGACAACGGGGCACAGCACTGGAGCAACGCACATGTCACTGTCACCGGCGGTGGCCGTTTTTCGCGGCCGCGAGGCTCCAGGAGGCGCGGCTCTGGCGGGCGACGAGTTTTGACTTCTGGTTCAGATACGAAACACGACACGACGCGGTGCGGCGCGATCCGACGGTCGTCGACGAGAGAACCGACGCGAGACAGAAGAGAGAACGCGCAAGAGAGAGAGAGAGAGACAAACAGAGAGAAGGGGAAGGGAAAGGGGGGAGGGGAGGAAGAGAAAGACGGAGAGAGGGAGCACGATGGGGAAGAGACAGGGAGAGCACGATGGTAGAAGGGAGGAATAAAAATGCACGTCCGCTTTACGACGGGTTTCCTACTTCCGGCCGTCCGTTTCCTTCTTTCGCCTCCTGGTGTCCATGCGCGCACTATCCACGTCGACGAGGACCCTTGTAACGTCCAGTCGTCCACGCCCGCCGAAAATTTCAAGTCTCTCCTCGGCGCAGCGCGATGGCCAAGCTAGAGCCAATTCAGCCGTTGGGCGGCGCAGGGAGAAGGAAAGAGACAGACAGACTAGACAGAGATAGAGGGAAGGAGGGACAGCAACGGGTGAGAGCTCTCTCTCGTACGCTTGCGATGCGATCGCGAGTAGGTCCTACGAACCGACACGATGCAACCGAGATCCCTGACTGAGCAGCCGTCGCCCGTCGAGCCTTGCCCCGCGAGACAACAGGACTGCCAACTGTCGTCAGCATTTCAACCAAAAGTTCCTGTCCCCAGGAGTTCTCATTCTCCTCTTCGCTTAAGAATAGGCACCCACACAAACTTACAGATTAGTCGTATAAACGTAGCATGCAAAGAAAATTATCCAATCGCATTTAACGTGCGACTTTGGGTGCGATCTACTCAGCAAATATTTGAGTTATACAAATACTTCGAAACTTGTGATTGACCAATCGGAAGAAAGAATTTTATTTACTGACCAATCACAAAATGCTTTGAAGCATTCGTAGCAACAAGCGAACCGTAATCTTTATAACAGAAATGTGATTGGATAATTTTCTCTATGCGATTATGTAAGTTTGTGGATATATTCCTCAGATAGCACACAATATTTATAAAATATTTATAAAATTTATTTTTAATATTTTGTAAATATTTTTGTGGTCTTAGATTGCACAAATTCCCTGATGAAAATGTAAAGCTTGTCGAAGCGTCAAAGAAGTGTGAACAAAGAATTTTAACGCTTCTTAAACACTTCATTGATTTTCCATTGACTCTTAGTAGTTTTGAATATTCATACACGCTATTCATGAACTCTCCCCAAACGCTCCGTAAAGTGTGGCCACATCTGTCACATTTCTCACACGTTAAAAAAAATTTTTTTTTATTAACGTTTCTCGCGTACGCTCCTCAATGCTTCGCAAAGAATGCCTGGAGCGTACTGAAAACACTTCATTCATTCGTACTTTGTCTACGCTTCCTAAACGTTCGGCAAAAAATACACGGAACATTCAAATACGTGTATGCTTCCAGGATATAGAGATAAAAAAATTTATTTTAAAACGGAGCGTCATTGAGTTATACAGCGAACGTAAACGAAGCATCGTTGAGTAGTACGCGGCACCACCAGAGGGATTTAGCAAGAACTAATTTCTCGAATTTAAAATTCCGCAGACTAGGATGACGTAGCATTGAAAGATTTTTTAATTGTATTCTAATGAAATAATTTTTTGAAGCGAGCTTCTAGGACTCCAAGAAGAAAGCATTTTTTTTTTAAAATATTTATCGAATAAATGAAATATATTTTAAAGTATCATTTGCTTATCAAGAATCTCGATTACATTTCATTTACGTTCGTCTAAGAACTCGACGATGCCGTTTATGTTCTCTACACTGCCTAATCACGCTCCGTTTACATTCAACGAACATTCTGCTCGTGCTTGCTGAAGAAAACTTATCTATACTTTTATTTATGTTTCTTTAACGTTTAGTTGACGCTACCTTTACGTTCCATGTTCCAATTTTCGCTTCTTACAGATTTTATTTACGTTTCTGTTACTCCCTCCTTATACTTCCTTTACACTCCAATTAACGCTTTATTGACACTCGCTTTACGTTTTATTTTCATCAAGGTTATAAATATTTATTATAAATATTATGAAATATTTATTGTAAATGTTTTAATAAAATACTTAAATAAAATACTTAAAATACTTATACTATGAAAATACTTAATGAGACATTATAATCCAAGTAAAAAATACTTATTAAAAATATTTATTTATATTTATCATAAATATTATATAAAATGTTTAGTTTATATTTTAATATTTCGAATAAAGTTTTATATAAAATATGTATTAAATAATTCTGTGCTGTTTGGGTTAAGACCGAAATCAGACTGCGCATTGAAGATTGAGATTGAAGATTGAAATGTGATCAATAAGAACAAAGAAATTTTAGCTTCTTTTATTTCGATTGGTCAAATTTCAATCTTTTAATCTTCAATATTCAATTTGATACTAGTCTAAGACTCGTTTAAGTTTATTAATCGTTTAAGTTAATTTAACTTTAAGTGAGGAGCTCAGACTCTTACATAACGTATAACACATAGGCATAAGAAATTTAACCAGTTAAGAGTTTTTTATTTCATGGAAAGGAAGAAAATGGAAAATTAAAAAAGGATTATTAAATAATAAAAAAATTTAAAAGTTTTATTGTGGATTTTTAAATTACAAAATATAATAATTGATTGTTCAAGATTTAGCAAATTAGGTCTTGTAACAATATAAAATTACATGTATATGTTTTCCAGCTAAACACATTTATAACTGAAAAAGCCCCTATAGCGCGAAAATTGTAGCAATATTGTGATATATTAATCAATAATGTGCAATATTACAAAAATTGCAACAATGTTGCTGCAATATTAAAATTATAATATTTTATTGAAAATATTACAACAATATTGCAAAATATTGTAATTTTAATATTTTGTAGAGAATATTGCAATATATTACAATTCAGTAAATAAATACGCGACTCTGTCACTAAAAGAATACGCTTTTCGTAAGAAGAAAATATCCAAATATCCTATAAAAAGGAATCCTATAAAAATCCTATGCAAAGCAATCGAATTAGCGAATCTCCTAGATTCTCAATCTTTTTTGAGGCGTGTTTGGATTTCTATCGTGTTCTCCGGATGTCATGTCATCCTTGTTTTGGTATTTAACTGGTAATATCTATTACTGTTAATATGGATAATATCTGGGTGCCATTCGGGTGGAATCGGAATATAGCCTTGGATGTGCTTTCTAGACCTCCGAATATTTTTTAATCATAACTTTATCGTATGTATTTTGTAAATATGCTAAACAATAATATGTTAGCAATTAATAGAATAATTATTGAAATATTGCATAATGTTAAAATAATATTTTAAATGCTAAAATAATTAAATTTTATTTAAATATATCCTAAAATCAATAGATAAAAAACTGGGTAATATTCTGTATACATAATGCTGTTAATAGAAAGTACTGTAATTAAATATTGAAACGTGGATCTTATTTTTCATTTTATTTTATTATCCTAAAATATAGACTAATATTTTATTTAACACTTTGATTACCATGTCATATTTAGTGCCCGTAACATTTGCAGAATTCCCATTATTTATTTGTGAGTGACAATTTTATTCACTCAATTAAAAATAATTTTACTAAAAATTGAAGATATTAAGAGAGAAATAACATCAATTATATTTTATGATATTAAAAAGAACCATAAAATATTAAAATAAGTATATTAAATTTATTAAGTTCAGTACCAAAATCAATATGTTAATGACTTATATATCTAATAACTTAATAACTTAAAACTAACTGAGTCAATATTAATTGATAATACACTATTATTAAGTAAGTAATATTTGGATAGATATTATCTATGTTTTGTTATTTAATGTATAGGAAAAAAGATTATAATTCGGGGATTATGTGAATATATAGTCATAATAATTTTATTTTAAATTTACTTGAAACTACTCTTATAGATAGTATAGATTGGATTATTTATATCCTGCCTATTATTGTTTTTTGAAATACGATTAGGAGCATCTGATTTAATAATGGCTGCATTCAGCAGAGAAAAAACTGAGCGTTCAATGATTCATACGTTAATATGATTGGTTCTTATACTTAAATCCAGCGAACATAGAACTAAATGGAAGAACCGATCATATAAAAGAATTTACTGAATGCTCATTAATCAATTTTCTCTGCTGTGAATGCAGTCAATATAATCTTTAATCTCAGTAAACAAGAATCGTTTGAAATGGTATAAATGATTTTCAGAAATACACATTTGCGAATATTAAAATGAATCATTTTCAATTCCTTGCATTTTTATTCGTTTATAAAAATTGCATGAAGCACATTTTTGTCCTTTAATCTAAAAGTTTTTTAAGTGCAAACTAATTAATTATTTTGAATCTGCTCAATTTAAAATTCTGAATTGGAAATACAGTTTTTCAATTGAATGTAAAAAAAAGTTTTACCATCTCATTGAATTTTAAAAAAAGAATGAAAATAAATCATGAATGCTACTAAAGTATGCATTCGAATGATTTAAATGAATTAAAATTTCAATTAATTAAAAATTCAAATCAATTAAAATTTTAATTCATTTTTTTAATTATTATGACAATAATGAATTCTAAGATATATAAAAAACGTAAGATAATAAAACGTAAGCAGTAAGAAAATTAATACATTGGATTGGTTACTGCTTACGTTTTACTGTCTTAAGTTTTTTTTATGTGCTGGCTCTAATAATGGTCTTTAATAATAATGGTTCTTTCTTTTCTTTAAAATACACAACCTTACAAATACTTCATAAACATGCTAAAGTTTAACATTCATTTTAACATTCGCATATACATATAAGAATCATTTAATTTTTATATACTTGTAAAATCCACGGAACACAAACTAACAGTAACATTATTAATAATTTCCCTCTCAACAATATAAAACATCGTATATGTATAATAGTTATTACATTGTGAGTAAAAAATTAATATTCATGATTAATTACTGTTAATTAGTTTGTATTCTAGAAAGTGATGACAATTGATCCAAATACAAATGACTTATCATACATAATAAAGAATAGAGAAGCCATCGTTAATTGTTGAATTAATCGCTGCAGAGTAACGTCCGTTTCTTCTATTTTAATTTTTAAAATTAGAAAAAGATAGAGTAAGTGAATCTAAATTAAAGTTAATCTACATAGGTCACAGGTGGAACTGAGCATAATGCTCGTTTTTACTAATGTAATTCAATTTTAATTGAACTGATTTAATTAACTTTTCTAGTTAGAAAAAGATGAAGAGTAAGTTGAATCAAAATTAAAGTTAATTTACATTGGTAAGAATAAGCATAAGTCAAAGTTTAATCGAAATTGTTAATTATATTTCGTAATCCTACAAAAATGTCCGACGCATATTGGAATGAGAACCACTGCTCCTCGGCCTGGGAATCGATTGTGTATCTTGAAATGAAGTGAAAATTACAAAAGTGAAGAAATTCACTAGAATATTCATAATTTAATTGGTCAATATCTAGTAATCATTGTTCATTTTTATAATTTTCATGTCATCTCAAAATACACAATCGAGCTCCTACACCGCGAAGCATAGTGAAGTTATCCCGCTCGATCTCTCATTCGCCGATAAGTCGCGTGTCTATGACGGTCATTCGTCCATTGGCTGTCGCCAGCCAATCATCGCGCGTGCGGAATGCCTCCGCGCCGCGAAAGCCACTCATGATCGCGATCGCAAGGTCGCGTCATCGCGACTGTCGCGACTGAGTCTATCGAGTCGCTGGCGCGGCGTTCGCGCGATCCTTGTCGAGAGATCATCTGGGATCATCTAAAATCATCTCTCCTTCAGCGTTCCGTTTTACATATCTGGAGGAGCGACACACACATCGTATTCTCCTATGCGAACGTGGTGCCGCGTCGCGCCATCGTCGCCACCGCGTTCCGCGAGCACGACTGCGTGGAACCGCTGCCGTCGCCGCCGCCGCTGCCGTCGTCTGGCACAGTCACCGTTCGTACGCGCGTCGCGACGCATCGTCGCCATTTCGTCGACCGGGACGACGACGACGACGAGGACGAGGACGAGGACGCTGGCACGACGCTGACGCTGGCGCTTGCACGCGCGCGGCGATGAAGGAGAGCTGAGCACGGCTCGCCGTCGTACATACGCCGGGCACACGAGGTACGTCATACGTGTTCTCCGGGTGCATCTCCCGTGATCTCCCGCGAAGCGACGCGACGCGCGACGCTCCGGAGTGGATGTCAGTGCACAAGAATGTCTTTCTTTTTTTTTCCTTTTCTTTACCGTTCACGCGTCCCGTCGCGTCGTTCGCGTCATGCCGATGATTGTGGTTACCTCTTGTAAATGCAGTGCATTCGATGAACCACGGAATCGCACGGATGTTTGTTTCACTCCACTGCAACTGTGGAGACACTGACAGCTGGAGGTTAACTTTTGTAAGCAAAGTATTCGCGGTCTTCCTGATAACGCGATGATGCGTGTTTGCTGGTCATTGGAAATTTAATACTGAAATAAATAATAGTTTAATTAATTATTTATTTATTTTGAACAGTTGAGTGTTTTAATATTCAAATAATTTCTAGTATTAAGTTACTTATTTTGAGTATTAAAAGCACTGAACTGCTTAAAATAGTGTAATGTAAAATCGCATTTCAATATTTTCGTTATTTAGTGCTTCTAGTCGTTCATTGTTACTAGAAATTAAGTACAATAATTTGATATTGGAAATTACTTATTTTTTGAGAATTAAAGTCATTGTTGTTCAGTGCTTTTAATACTCAAGTAATAAATAATTTCTGTTATTATTGACCAGTATTAATATGGATTTCTGTAACGGTTGGAAGAATCTCCTTTCTCCATATGGCTTTATACGATACGATTACGACCTCGTTTCTATTAATGAAGATTAAAGTCGATGTTTCTAAGAGAGACCGGAGTACTCGCCATTCTGATCCTATAATCCTGTAAATGCGTGGTTCTCGCGCAGAAAGGAACATTAGAAATCCCTGCATCGTTTTACGTTACGATATTGTTGTTGCGTCGTGATAAAGTTAATCTCATGAGCTTATTTTTATGCACGTGTTTCCTACGAAAGAACGTTCCGTCTCGGACGTTATCTTACATGATGTATAATAAGCGGCGTTTTTATAGCAATTTTTTAATAACCGTTTATACTTAATGTACAGCTGGAGCTGTAATTTATGTCGTTATTTATGCCGTATATTTAATAAGAATTAAGACTATTATTGGCGCAAAATTATTTATTGCGCCAATATGACGTACTTATAATGATCTCCGAGGATTGTTTTTTCTTATTGGTTATCTTGAATTAATTCATTGCTTTTAAGATGTGAAATATTTATATATCTCTATTATATATTTTTATAAATATCTAAAATTGTAATATATATCTAAAAACAGAAATTAAAAAAACATACTATTTAAATACATACTTTACTATTTCTTTACAGTCAGTTATTACAGCAAAATTGTGTTTCAAAATTATAATTACGAAATGTCAATGATTCAAAATATTCTAATTTATTTTTATGACTTTGTTTTTATTTGTTTCATTTTAGGAAATGAGCAATATAAATATATATCTATTACAGTTATACATACATTAATAATTTTTTAGATACATATTATATAACTTCTGTCTTTTTAAGCAATTAAAAAATTTTTAAATTATATCAGTAAATGAGCGATATGTATACGCATATTTTTATACATCTTAAAAATTCTAATATATATCTAAAAATTTATTAACGTGTATCTAAAACTTGTATATTTATCATATATATTTTTATATTTATTAGATAAATATGTTTAAATTTTTCAAGCCTTAGTGATATGATCAAATTTTAATTTCCATCTATCGGGTGTATAATTTTTTTGTTATGTATCAAAAACTCTAATTGTAAAGGATTGACGAATGTGCAATGTTTGCGAGAACACGAAACGTTGATTGCGATTAATCGCGCATAAATACTAAATAGCAATTTAACTCCGCTATTAACTCCGCAAGTCTAATACCGCTGGATCCGGTTGACGGTTCTCTTTGCGGATGAAACGTCACTCGTGTGATTCCACGTGTACGATACGCGGGCGCCTCTCCCGCGAAACGTAGGGATATTCTCGCATTCAGATTGCCGGTCTGTCGGTCTCGGGATCGACTGGAAGGTACGCGACTTGTCTACGTGTCGTGTCGCCTCGCGCTAATGGTCGCGCGCTAATTAATCCGGGGACAGAAATCTAATAGCGATCTGCTCAACGAGGGAGTTCAGCTTCATCGATTTGTTGAACCTATCTGCTTTCAGCAACATGTGCGATAATAATAAACGCTGAATGGAATCTCGATTTCGGACAAATTTGGAGCAAATCAGGCTCCACGTTGCGAAAATCGCTGATGAATGCAAAGCATCACGTGCCCAAAAAAGCATTGAGGCGATAATAAATTTATGTAGAAAAATACATACGCAAATAATTATAATAATTACTTGTTTCAAATATTTTAAACGTTCAAATATCCGCAGATATCTATATCATAAGTTTATTACAAGCATCAAATTTATTCAAAACATTATTCTGAATAAGTTTAATACTTCAATAAAGATTATTAAATTAAAATAAAGTTTATTTGTTTATTATTAAAATTTTTCTTCGATGAAATTTTATAATATTTTTCGAAAGAAAATAAATTCTTGTTTTCAATACGTCGTTAATTAATTTGTCTAAAATTTGTTTTAAGCTTATTATCAAGAAAATATTCTTTGTTAATCATTACTTAAAAAAAAGAAAGTAAATTAAGTAATTACTTTTCTTAGCAATAGAATGATATTTTTTGTGTGTAGATATATATGTTTAGTGATATTAAATAATGAAAAATGATTAATTTGTTCCTAATTCGATATCAGCGTTCTCATTGAATTCATCGAGATAATTAAGTGAAAAGTGATTAATCGAATTTAAATTGTCACGAAAATGCATTTAAATTGAAAGTCTATTATCCCCAAACAAGAGCTCTTAAATATTGAAAAAATCTTTATCTGAGAGTATTTGGAGAAGAGTTTCCTTTTCTAGAAATTCTAGGCTAACTATACTTCAGAGAGAAAGAGAGGAAGCAAGTTGAGTTAATCTAGAGATAAACTACAGACTAATCTCGAGCTATCTACATTTTATCAAGTGCGAGATTGAGAGATTCAAATTAAATTTCTCTCTTGCCCTCGTATTCTCGGAATAGATTTATTTTTAGTTCTCGCGCACCAATAGTATCGTTACGGAACCGCATCAAATCATGATATCCCGTAGATTATATAAACTTCAAAATTAATGTTAGATAAATGAATATACAAACTATAATAAATGAATATACAGGGTGATTCACTTAAATCGAACATCTTGAATATTTTGCTTATTTTTGATGATACAAAAAAATGTTTTAAACGAAATTGGAACAGTTTCGAGGGGGATGTATTTTGGTCATGTTGTTTTTTTTCTAGGTGGAGGAGTCAAAAAAATATGAAGGTTACCTTCATTTTTTTAAATGGAATTGTATGATTTTTCTTTATTACAATATGATTATTCCTCTAATTATTCTGTATATAAAAGTATTAAGATAGTAATATCAAAAAACCAATAGTTTACGAGATATTTTACACTTCATCCTAGAAGAATAATGAGATGAATCAGTTAGTGTAAAGAAAACATCGTTGCTTTAAAAAAATATGTATGCAAAATGGATAATTTTTTAAATAAGCAACTATGTAATTTCTTTACACTAATTGATTCATCTCATTATTCTGTTCATAAAAGTATTAAGGTATACGATTATCAAAAATAGTTTACGAGTTATTTAATATTTTATGTCAATATGTGCTAGAATAAAATGTAAAATATCTCGTCAACTATTGGTTTTTTACCACTTTAATACTTTATATCACTTTAATACTTTTATATGCAGAATAATTAGAGAAATCATATTGTGTAAAAAAAAATCATACAATTCCATTAAAAAAAGTGGAGGTAACCTTCATATATTTTTGACGCCTCCATCTAAAAAAAAATCAACATGACCAAATTACGCGCGTTTCTCCTCAAAATTCTTCTACTTTCATTTGAAACATTTCTTTATATCTTCAAAAATAAGCGATTTTATATCGATTTCAGATGATTGATTTAAGTGGACCACTCTGTACACATACAGAAAAATACATACTATATATATATACACGAATAATTACTTGTTTTAAAATTATTTATTTCAAAAGTTTATATATACATAAATCTATTACAAGCATTTATCAAGTTTATCACAAGCATCAAATTTATTCAAAATACATTCTGAATCCTAGTAAGTTTAATATTTTAATCAAGATTGTTAAATTGTAATAAATTTAATTTGCTTATTGTAGTTATATTATATGAAGTCGTTCAGGACATTAACAATGGATCACGACACGACAATAACGTAAGTCCTTTGGCACATCTGATGAAATTGTTTCTTTCAATTTTATAATGTTTTTCAAAAGAAAGTAATTTCTTTTTTTTTTTTTTGAGACAAAAATTACAGAAACATAATAATGAATTTTTCTAAAATTTGTAATAACTGTAATAAGTATGTACATTTTAAGATTATTAAGAAAATATTTTTTGTTACAGACAACCATTACGTAAATGGAAGAGATTAAATTGAGTAATCACTTTTCTTAGCAATAGAATGATATTTTTCTGAGTGCAATGTATGTACATATATATATATTTTTAAGAAAATAGTATCGCGACGTTATTAATTCTCACATCTCTTTTTCGCCTTGTACACTGAAAATAAAAGTCTAGGAAGAGACTGAAGTGAAAGGAAAAAAGAAAAGTATAAAAAAGTATGTATATACAAGTATGTATATATAAGTATGTATATGCAGTATGTATGACGCAATTAGACTTAATCTAAAAATAATAATTCCGTATACAAGGCAATTTCTAATTATATATGTAAGAATTATTCCTCCGGAAGTTACGAAGGTGAAGAAGACAAACAACGTAGAAGTGTGAATTAAAAGCACATGCGATGGAAACGAAACGGTCGATTATAAATGAATACGGCGATTATCAAAGTGTCTTCTGAAGTGACTACCGCAACAGTCGATGAATGTCACGAGAGG